GATTCTTAAGCCACCAGGTCCAGGACTCAAACTGTGAAACTGGTTATGTGGGATCCAGCATTTTAACCTCCATACCACCTGCTGGCTTGTTATTTCATGAACTTTTAAATATATTTATGTATACACATGCACACACGCACACACACACACCACACACACACACACACACACACACACACACACGTCTCACACCAATCTGAAAACAATCTAAGTGAAACGTACATATTTACAAGTGAGAAAACAGAGATTAAGAAAAGTTAAAATGACCCATTCAAGGTCATGCAGCTCTTCCACTGGATCTGCAATTGCACAGCAGTGCCTTTGGCTGGCTCAGATGTGGAGTCCCACTGGTGGGCTCTTTATTCTACACTGTCTTTTCCTACAATTCTCAGAGCCCTTCATCTGCAAACTCCTTTCACACGTCTTGCCCCTGGCAACCATGCTGCAAGACCTTGGTAGGCTAGGACTGCAGCTGTGGTCTCAGACCTGTACTCCTCCTTCTTGTCCCTGGCTTTTGCTATTTTTCTGATCATTCTCACCCCTCCCAGGGAGAAGGCAGAGAACAGGGAAAGGTGTGGACTGAAATCGGCCAGCTTTTCTACTTAGGAGCAACGGCGCAGGTGTACAGCTGGAGGCTGGTGCTGCTAATGGCAGGTCTTCTCTGCACTGGGGCTGAGCTACACAGAGGAGTCCAGACTGCAGGGGCATCCCTGATTGGGAGAAATCAGAGGCTGCCTCTCTTCACTCTGCGGTCTGTGACAGGCCCTTAAGGATCATGAGCACCTGACTTTGGAGTGCAGAAGCCACCTAGGGAACCAAATTCTAGTCTTCCAAATGGCTTCCACCAGTGCAATGCATGGTGCTGCCAGTTAGTCACTGTGGCTGGCCTTGACACTCATTCACTTCTTATCCAGCCTGTGGTCCATGGCAAGTAGAGTCTTCCCTCCTCGCATACAGCAAGGGGCACTCACTCCCTGCTGGCCTGTCTGTGACAGGGCTGGACATGCTCTTCCTTTTAGAACATGACTGCTCATAGGAGACATGCCTTGGCTCTAACAAGTTATTTTCCATAACGCTCTTGACGATTTCCAAGAGGAGAATTTCAGAACCTCAGGCCCAGCTCCGACCTTTCTGGCTTTGATGACCAGTTCAGTAGCAAAGCCCATAGAGGCCAAAACTGCGACATCCCATTCTCAAGGGGGAGGACGAAGGTTCTAATCATAACAAAGGCACATGGAGTTTGCCCGCTGGCCGGGCGGCGGAGCCAACCCTGATGAGAAACAGCAGCAGGAGTGGCTGTTTTCAGACTTTTTCAGCACTTTTGAGGTATTTATTTTACAGACAGAAAAAGACATGCCGCAGACTAAGAAAATTACAAGCCTGACACCAGTCCCAAGGGTCTCCTCTGCCTTTCTCTGGGAGGCAAGAAGACATCTTCTCTTGAGCAGAGGAGGGCAGGGGTTGGAGGTTGCGGGATGAGGCTGCATTGGGGTCTTCCTGAACTTGTGTTCTCCTCTAGGAGTGGCTCTCCACCCTGGTGCACAGTAGAGCCACTCAGGGGGCCTGAAGAGTTCTGACTCCTTGGCCCTATTCCTGAACAGCAGGACGAAATGGGGAGGGCGTCAGTAACAGTTAAGGTTCCCGGGTGATTTTCATAGGCAACCCAAGTGGACGGCCTCTTTCCCAGAGCACCAGGGCAATGAACTGCACATCCATTTCGAACCTCCGTATGGACTGCGTGCGAGTGGCCACTAGAGTGGCGTGTTGAATCATTAATGAGATTGCGTCTCCACTGCCTCCGCCTCTCAGCTGCCCGCTGAGAATATGCCCTGGGACTGCAACAACAAAGGAAGAACAAACAGGGCAGAATCCAATGACATTTCTGGTGGAGACAAACATTTGGATGGTGCCTGTCCACTTCTTTCTTTTTCCATCACATCACAGTCAACCCTACCCAGTGATTCGTAATGCTCTCCACAAGCCATTAAAACAAATTTATTTTTTTTTTGACTGTTGCTTATGCAAGGAGACATCACAGACTCACTCTCCATGTAACGTAGAAAAGAAAAATGGCTTCTTCCATTTTCCTCTCCAGTAGTAGTTATTAGGCCAGGAGTGGGCGCTGAGAAAACCACCTCTAAGATAATAGCAGGCACCCTGGTCTCCTAGTTTCCGTGTGAGCAGCCAGGATGGAAAGTTTATTATGCACAGGCCTCTGCTCCCACACTGGGAGCACTTTAGCACGCAGCTAAAGCCTGAGCCGAGATATTTTTTTGTTGTTGTTTTTTAACAAATAAATAACAAGACAAGGGGGATGCCTCAAATGACTGGAAACCAAGGAGACAAAGGGGTTGCTGTAATATCATGTTTTGGTATTTTTAGCTCTGTTTGCAAAGGCTAAATTATAGTAAGGGTTTGGACGCGTTCCTGTAGCAATTGCCTCGTAACACATCATAACCGTCTTGGGCTGCTCCTCCCCCTAAGGAACTACAACTCAAAATTACAGATTATACAGAAATAAAACCCTCTAACTGCTTGTTTGTTTGTTTTACTTAAGCGATCCTGACTTCCTAGCATAACACCCTCGAATTCTGAAAATATCTCAAACAGCAGTTCACCTGGCATTCATGCAAGATTTCACATTGTTCGCAGGAAGCGATCCAAGCCAAGGTCTCAGGGAGAAATCAGTTCAGGAGATGGACAGATATGACCAGCTGCTCCCTGGCATAGAAAGTTCTGCACACCCAGCCTACTACTGGGTTGTCAGCAAAGTCATGACGCAGTTTTGCACAGAAAAATACGTCATGACTTTTCCGATGAGTCAATATACAGAGCTCAAGCACGGGCCGGCTCCTCCACCTTCTCTTCTGCCTCAGTTCCACCGCAAGCTACTGAGGACTAAGCCCTCCAGTTTCTGCTGAATGCTGAGCAAGGGAGGGAGAAAAAGCTAAAAGACAAAAATTGCTTCCACTGCAGCCTCAAGCTTCCCAGGAAACGTGGTGACCTTCTTTACGAGCCTAACAGACTAACCACATTCAACAGGTAGAGGGATTTTATGTCTGTTTTTCTATGATAAATGCACTAAATCTGTTTTTTAAGAGCTTTAACCTGATTACAAGATCGATCAGTCTCAGGAATAAGCTGTCCAAGGACGATAACAGCATCAAGATAAGGAAGCCTAAATATTTTTGATAACTCAGCAACCACACATTTGGCAGTAAAAACACCTTCCAGTAGCCTCTTAGAAATACCTGGACCTCTTTCGGAGGTACAGGAATTAGTGATAATAACAAGTTAAAAAAAAATTCTGGTTCCACATTATGACGTCCACCAACTTAGAAATGCTGTGTAGATGTAAGGGGCAGGAACGAAACATGCTGAAGAACTAAAACATTTTGAAATAAGATTCTTTATCTTCTTCTTTTTTTCTTCTTTTTTTGTTTTTTTTTTGCTACAGGGTGCATGCACTTGCAAGAGAGAGACAGAGTGAGACAGAAAGAGCAAAAGGGAGAAATCACACACACACCCCCCTGGGGGCGGATGGCCATGCTACAGTTCCTTTTTCTCCCTTCTCCTCTTGGGATTTTGGACATGCATGAACATGTGCTTGGCATGATTTTCAAGCTGCAGGGTCCAGGACTGGATCCGCTACCTACTATGTAGGAGTCTAGTGCCTTAACCACTACACTACCTTCTGGCCCTGAAAGACGACTTTTAAAATATGCAAAGCAACCACCTATCATATATAATCTTCACTAAGTAATCTCTGCCTCCTTTTCTCATTGGTGGCATAGATTTTTGTTTTTCCTAAAATGGACCGTCTGGGTAGACAAGATCAAATGCAATTTAGCATTTTCGTTCCTTGGTTCTCTTCTCTTGAGGGCAGTGGAGGCAGAGCTTGCCTGCTCAACTTCCTATGTGTTCCAGAGACAGAGATTACACAGACACACCCAAAGGAAACGGGAGTTGCATATCTCAATGGAGAAGACAGAGTTCAATCTGAATTCTCCAAAAAAGCCCTCGAGAAACTATTAGAGAACAGACAAGGCCCAGACAGAATTTATGGCTGATTTAACCTTGTAAAATTCCTCGGGTCAGCAGAGTCCAGTGTGCTTGTGCTTCACTGTACAATCTGTAGTGAATTCCTCCCAGAAACCGCGCTCTATAAGCAGAACCCTCGGTGACCCTCTTTGTTTGGAGCTGGGACAGCCATCTGCAACTGCGAAAGCAATCATTTTAAGTGCTCATGATGAACACCTAGGGCAACCACTGGTACAATAACACATGCCGTTTCCAACAAAAAAGTGCCGAATGCCAAGTGGGTTTGAGGCTTTGTACTGGCTGCTCTTGGCAGAATGCAAAACCAGTTCAGGGGGAAGAAATGCCCCAGCATTTCTCTTCACTGAGGATTAGTAACACCGGTGTATCTGAATCTTTCATGCTTTCGGCCAAACTCTACAGTTCCAGGTTCACTCCCACTGTGCAAGATTTTTGGGATTGTGTACCAGTGCCAGGAACACTGGGCAACATAAAAGGGGCCCTCGGACTTCATGTTTTGCAATTGGAACAGTCCCATGGAAACTGGGGCAGTTGGGAACCTGGAGTGAAGCAGAACTAAAGAGGAGGTACAGTCTCATTCTCTGAAACACCATTTAGCTCCATGATCGCATTCATACTGTCAACTTCGATGCGGGGAGAGATTGTCCAGGGCTGTGTTCCTAAGCTTGGCGTTCAAAGGCTGCCTTAGGAAACTCAGCAGGGCCTGCCCCATGTGTGACCTCGGTGCTGATAGGAATAACATTAGCTGCAAACCAGAGCCTTCTTACTGGCCGCAGTCTCCCCAGGCATGGGGGACTCAGGGCTCTGCTGTGCGGCACTGGCAGGTATGCACACAGCATAAGTTCAGGCACAGTGGGAAGGAGGGGACTGCTGCAGTAATGGATAACAGGGTTGATTACTGCTCGCAGGCATTTAAACAATATTTAAAAATCAGATTACTGGTGCTTGCTTCAGCAGCACATACACTAAAGTTGTGAATGATACAGAGAAGATTAGTATGTCCTCTGTGCAAGGAAAAAAAATCAGATTACTAAAAGCTACAACTAGAATTTCTCCTCAAATACATTCATCAGTAATAACTATAAATATATATATATACACATTTATATACACACACATATACATATATATGTATATACATATATATGTATACATATACACACAGAAAAAGTCAGAAATGACAGTTAAATTATTTTTCCTTTCTTTTATCTTTTTCTTTTTTTGGGGGGGCTATAGGGCGTGTGCACTCACTAGATAGAGACAGATAAGGGAAAAAGGGAGAAAGAGAGAAATCACCCAAGGGGAGTGAACAAAATTGCAATCCCTTTTCTATTCTCCTCTTGGGATTTTGGGCATGCACATATACACGCCCAGTGTGTTTTTCAAGCCTCTGTGTCCAGGATTCAAACCACAGCTGACCATGTGGGATCCAGCCCCTTAATCAGTACCCACCTGGCTGGCTCTAAGTTCTTAACTGTAAAGGCCACACTATAGCCCTCTTTTCTTCCCAGCACCGAGTGCATCTCATCCAGATGTGTGGTCAGGGCTCAGGGGAATGGTACTGAGGGAGAGGGTGAACTGAAAACAGAGACTTCCTTGTCCTCTAAACATTTCTGCAACTGGATATTCCCCATTTACCATGTATTATTTTATTTCTAATAGATGCCTACTTGCAAAAAAGTGAATTACTAAAATACATAAACATTTAAGAAATGGGTCAAATTTTAACATATAAAACAGAAATTGTAACTTCTTATTATAAACTGCTATATTCCTGACCATCAAATTAGAGAAAATATACAAATACAAGTCATTAAAATTATCTTGTTAAATTTTATAAACAAACTATTGGTTATACTGAAGCCTTAATCTTATGGAGCTCCCACGGGCATCTATATGTAATTTAGAAAGATTAAACAAATCATCTACTTGATAGGGTTCCATGCTCTATCTAGAAAATCTCATCTTACATCAAAGGAGATGCTGAGTTTTACTTTGCAATTAGTAACATTGGCCTCTAGAGACGACTGTTAGAAATGGTGCACTGTTGGGCCAGCCCTGCAGCACAGTGGATAAGGGAACTGGATCCCACATAGCCGACCCTGGTTTGAATCCCAGCTCTGGTGGCCTGAAAAATGTGCTTTGGGGGGATCTTTATAGCATGATCTTCCCCTAGCCTGAGCCAGCCCCAGACCATAGGCATCTGCACACATGCCTGGCAGTAGAGAGAGGTCCCAGGATGTGAACTGAGGATGTAGGTCCAATTGTATTACCACTGTACCCCTCCCTTATCCTCAAGCTATTTTCTTAAAATGGCAGTGCCACTTCATTCATTTCTGAGAAAATGTCTTCCAGACACCTACGTCTGAAAAACCTCAGTTTGCCTGCCAGTAGTGAATTAAGTGAAAATGATGATCCGTAAGAAATGGGGCTAGTTGAGCTCGCAACTCAGGTGCACAAATGATTCTCTTCAGTGACCATCGGACACAACAGAAGTGCTTTATTCACATATTTGGCTGCACAGAATATTAAGATATATATGTCCTTTTCATGACATGGCCCCAACCTTTCTCTTATTCTCACTTTGTCCCCACTATAATACGCCTATGTCTTGGTTGCTTTTAAAAATATCTCTTTAAGCTGTGGTTCTACTTCCAAATCACAGTGTCCTCTGAAGGTCACACCTCATACTTCCTCTTCCTTCTCAATACTAAGCACATTGTGCCTAGATATATGATAGACACATAGCATACAGGTGTCATGTGAACACTGGATGAATGAAACAGACAAAGCCTCTCATACTTATTGGGTTTAGTATGGTCATTTAGAACAAACAGCATCACCCCAAACAGTAAAACATTAAATTGACAATTTTGCATCTGGGCTAGGTTTCTTCAATGATAAGTAACTATTTTTTTTTCTTTTCCTTTATTGCCAGTGGGCATGTGTGCTCACAGGAGGTGGAAGGAAAGCACCACCCAGTGGGTGGTCATGGCCCATTGGGCATGGGGGTGCTTCTCTTTCTCTATGTACCATGAAATAAAGAAAAAGGTAAACTTGGGGCCAGCAGGTGGCATGGTGATTAATGCACTGGACTTCCACATGGGCAACTACAGTTCGAGTCCTGGACTCAATGGCTTGAAAATCATGCTAGGCGCATGTGCATGCATGCCCAAAATCCTGGGAGGAGAATGGAGGAGAAGGCATTGTAGCATGGCTATGCCCCCTGGGTAATTATTTTTCCTCTCACTGTCTCTGTCTGGCAAGCTCATGTGCCTAATGGCAAAAACTAAAAAAAATTAAAAAAAATTTTTTTAAGCATTAGTGTCAGTTGTGGGTAAGGATAAAATCCAAGCTTTCATAAAAAATTTAAAAAAATTTTTTTAAACATTAGTGGTAGTTGTGGGTAAGGATAAAATCCAAGCTTTCAAGAAAAAAGTCAGTATTTTGGAAAACCTGTATTTACTAATGTAAGTCTAACAGCTTTCCAATACTTAAAGGCTTTTCTGATGAAATCGTGGCAATACCAATGTACACAATTTTAAAATATTGTATTTGTTTAAAACATACTATTATCATCAACCCTGCATAATTCTGTGAAATAGTATTTTCTAGACAATCAGTAGGTGATTAAAAACAATCATGCATGAGAATTCACATGGTGGTGCAGTCAGACTGCAGCACTGGAAGCCACATGGCAACCATAGTTCGAATTCTCAGGCTGGTGAGCTCAAACACCATGGGCAGGTATGTGAGTGCCCAAGATCCAACGAGCTGGAGGATTCGAGAAACAGGATCACAGTGTGACCAAACTCTGTGGAGGGGCCTCTTTTTTCTCTCCCTACCCCTTCCTTGTTGCATACACACATGCATGTATCACAAATAAAGGGGAAAAATCATGCAATCATGCATGAATTAATGAGTCATCAACATGCACGACAATCCATCGTGTTTTAATGCAACAGAGTGTAAAAAACTGACATGATTTCAGATTTCTCATCACAACAAACTTTGAAGAAACTGTCTCTTGTCAAGTTTTGGTATAGTGTTAAAAAATATCCAAAGTTATCTAAAAAGTCTATTAAAATCCTCCCTATCTATCTGTATGAGGATTTTCTTCATGTCTTTCAACAAGAACACTATATTGCAACAGATTGAATGCAGAGGCAGCTATGAGAATCCAGATGTCTTTTATTAAGGCCGATATTAAAGAAAGCTATAAAAAAAGTAAATGTTCTCCTCTCAGTATATTTTCATTTTGTAAAATTTTGTTATATTTCATAAAATATGTTATCTATTAACATAATGATTTATTACTCCTATTTTTAGATGAGTTAACAAATATTTTGAAATCTTCAGTTTTATTTTCTGTAAGTATTGATTCAGAGAACCAACACAGGGACCTTTGGGGTCTTCACTAGTTTTTATGGATGTACAAGAGACTGAGGTTAGAACTATTAAGAGCTGATGATCTAGACAGTGATTTAAAAAGCAGTCATAATAGTAATAAAAAGTCAGGTTGTGGCCTGGTGGCTAAAGCAGCTAGATACCACATGGCTGACTGTTTGGTTCAAGTCCCAGAACAGGTATCTTGAGAAACATGCAAGGTGCATTGAGTGCATGATCAAAATGTCAAGAAGAGAAATGGGGGGAAGGGATGGTGGTGTGACCATTCTCTAGGGGGGAAGGGGATGCTTTCTCACTTTCCTTTTCCATCCCTCTTCAGTAAGTGCATGCAGCCTCTAGCACATTATATAAAAACAAAAGATTTTCAAACAGTAAAATGTCACTGTCTGACTAGTAAGAGTTAGTATGTACCAAGAAAGCAGGAAACAGGAGGACAGAAGAATGCATTGGCAAGTGCTGCAAATTGACCAACATGAACAAAAAAATGTCATTTATTTAGTTTGTTTGATGTAAAAATACATGTGGAACATTTTCAATTTGGGTGTGGGCATCTGCTTGCAATCGAGTTTTAATTAACTAAATTTCAAATGCTTTAGGTGTTCTAGCCCTCTGAGCCAAGCATTTCTCACCAGTACCCAACGGTGCAAATTAAAGTGCTGCCTGTCTCAAGGTTTTAAGCAGAATTTACAAGTGGATTTTATTTTGTGTGTCTTTTTTGTGTATTTTCCTGATTAGGGAATCATATTTTGCCTTTAAGTCTCCATTGCTTGTCTCTACAGTGACCTTGTAAAATCAATTCCAGATTGAAGGAAGAGGGACAAGGGGTACAATTAGAATAGGTATGTCAGAAAAAGAGGCATAGATCAGGACTATCCTGGGCAAACCAGGACATAGATCACCCTAATTCTTCACAGAACATCACCTCCAGGTCTAACTGGCACCCCTTCCCATTCTCCATGACATCTACTCTAAGCCTTCCACTTGGAACAATTGCCTTCTCCTACCAAACACAGCATCAATCACCAGCCTGCCATGTTCCCCTACCTTCACATTTCCCTCCTTACCCACTTATCCCTCCTTCTCTTCAGAGGAAAGATACAAGTTTGTTTGCCTGTTTGTTTTTCCTTTTTTTTCCCCCTAGAGGATGCATGTTCTTGCCAGAGACTGACAGAGAGGAAGCATCCCCCAATGGAGAGTGGTCACACTGCAATCCCTTCATCTCCCTTCTTCTATCCTGTTGGGATTTGGAGGATGCATGTACATGTGCCTGGTGTGTTATTCAAGCCATCAGAGTCAGGATTTGAACCATGGTCAGCCATTGGTATCCAACTCCCTTTATCACTAGACTATGGGGCCTGCCCAAGACTGTTCTCTTTAATTCCAGCTTAATCCAGCAAAATCAGTTGTTTGTGACCTCTGTACACCCCCTCCCCCATTTTTTTCCTTTCCCGAGCCACATTCTAGTCTTCTTTCTTTCTCTCTCTCTTTCTTTTAAATTTTTGCTAGAGGATGGATGCACTCACCAGAGAGAGAAAAAGAGAGAGAGAGAAAGGAAGAGGAAGAAAGCATCCACCATGGGACATGACCACTCCACTTCACCATCCTGTTAGGATTTGGGGCATACACATACATGCGCCCAGAAAGT